TGTGAGGGGAGACGAGATCTTGTCGGTAAACGGGAAGATTGTGACGGGCGCGAGGTTGTCGGAGGCGCAGGCCACGCTGGCCACGGCCTGGAACTCGGGAGGGGTAGGTGACGCCGGGCGTCTGTGTATATTGCTCCGCCTCTGATATTCATCAACTCATAACGTTCTCCTCCTCACAGGATTGGATAGATCTGATCATCGCCGTGTCCCCGCCCAAAGAATACGACGACGAGGTGTAAGTGTCACCCGTAGCTATGTCCGGGGGGGCAGCCAATAGGAGCTCAGCTCTACCTCAGGGGGAGGGGGATGTATGATGCCAGCAGCCGGCCTATAGGAGCTTTCCTCCTCCTCGGGGGGTGGGGTGAAGGAGATTGTTTCCCGGGCAGCGCTTTGTCTGGTTGCTATGGGTTACGTTTGGTTGCTATGGGTTACGTTTGTCTGGTTGCTATGGGCTGCACTTTGTCTGGTTGCTATGGGTTACGTTTGGTTGCTATGGGTTACGTCACTTTGTAGATATTCCACCACATACAGTAGCGCAGTGCGTCAGTCCGATTCCTTACGATGGGGCGCGATGCTCTGCAGATTGTAGTATGTGTGATGCATGTGGTTGGTGGCGCTCAGTTGAGTCCATAGAGCTGCCATGGTAACAGGCGGAAGGGGCGGGGCTAGAGCGACGGACTAAGACGCCATGTTTGGTCTGTGTGCAGATGGCCGGCAGAGCCGGAGGAGATGTTTGGGAACAGCGACTCGGTGTACAGGCCGGGATTCTTCCCGCAGAGGCCGTGACCCCACCTGGTGGGAGGTGACAACGTGTGACACGTGTGTGTGTGTGTGTAGCATGATACGGGCGGGGTCATGTGACCAGAGGCGCAGGCAAAGTTCTTTGGATGGTCGCCATTTATCGGTTTATAACCTCCAGCCCGTCTGACCATCGCCAGGAAATGGCGGCATTGAGGCCACGCCCCTCGGCGCTGTTACAGTTTGTGTAGTGAACGCTGGAATCTGAGCGCGGCGGGGGAGGGTACAATCGTCCGGATCAGATCACCGCAAGTGACTAATGACTCCGCCCCCAAACGGTAATCACCGGCACATTCCATTTATAACCAGGCAGAATGGGGAGAGCGGCTCACCTGGCTACGGGAGGCGGGGTCACCTGGCTACGGGAGGCGGGGTCACCTGGCTACTGGAGGCGGGGTCACCTGGGTACCAAAGGCAGGGTCACCTGGGTACAAAGGCGGGGTCAGCAGGGGGGTCACCTGGGTCCCGGAGGCGGGGTCAGTAGTGGGTCGCCTGGGTACCGGAGGCGGGGTCAGTAGTGGGTCACCTGGGTACCGGAGGCGGGGTCAGTAGTGGGTCACCTGGGTACCGGAGGCGGGGTCAGTAGTGGGTCACCTGGGTACCGGAGGCGGGGTCAGTAGTGGGTCACCTGGGTACCGGAGGCGGGGTCAGTAGTGGGTCACCTGGGTACCGGAGGCGGGGTCA